CGCTTCCAACCTCTAATTGATTTAGAAGCTACTCCGATTCCGATGACTCAAAATGTTTCAAATGTAAAGCCTGTAAAGGAGAATACGAAAGAAAAACTCTCATCGCAGGAAGATGGTTTGGCATCTGTTATGGGGGAGTTCCTCAGTTGTGAGCAGTTACACTTAGTAATTAAGACCCTTCACTGTATTTTTAAAAGGCTGGACGAGGTATCTTCACAATTATCCAATATCCTGCTGAAAATCGGAAAACTTGAATCAACAACACAATCCTCAGTTTGTGAGGTCAAAAACTTATTGCCTCACCCCCATTCAGATAAAATACTGGAGACTAAAACTAAATATGTCTTAAATTCCCAATTGAACAATCAGATATTAACTTTGCAACCCAAGAAAAGTTGCCTTTCTGTCAGGTCGGAAATAGGAAGATGGTCAACGCTAGAAGGAGCTAAAGACTGCTTAAGCAAACTTTTAAAAATTAAGAAATATCAGATTGACCTATATGCTGTAATGCCCCTTCCCCGGCAGACCAACTTCTTGAAGGTGATACTTGCGTTCCACTCTGAAAAGATACCATCTATTATTGTTAGGAGGAAAACGCTTTTGTCCATGGCCGACATTGTAGCAACGAGGGTTTTTACAGACAGCAAGATCAAACCCCTTCTAAATAGGTGCCCTGGCGGTGAGGACATTAGGACAAGAGACTCTGCCTTACCTCAAAATACTGTCAGGCCCAATCGCGATGACTCTGCAGCGTGCCATCCGCGACCAAACTCGATACCCTCTCAAACTGCTATATATGAGGATGATAATCTGCAGACTGCCCTCGACGAAAGGGAACTTATTGATTCATTCAGAGCCCTTCCTCCGAAAGAACAGTCGGTGATGATGCAAAGATTTGACACGCTTAAATCTCAGCTTTTGCAAGTCCAACATAGAGGGGAAGATACTAACGATGTCTCAAATAATCCCACTTGGGCCCACCGGACAGAAGTGGTTGACCTTCTTCAGCTCAGTCCCACTCTGAATTCAAAACCATCCGACAAGACTCAAATCTTCAAGTTGCTTCTGCAGCGTGCGCTACATCACGAGACGACCAGGCTCTGCCATCCTCACTGAACCTTCATCTATATTCATCAACCAACATATCTAAGGACGAAATTCTGATTTCCTGCTTGACTCAAATCCTCTTTAACTCACTCATCTATGCCAGAGCTAGAATCTTCTCCGGTTTCGTCCAGATATAGAAGTAGTCCAAATGTGATTGCCCTGAGAGAGTCTTCCGCAATTTCCACCTCCGTGATGCCCCCTCAATTACCTCCTTCAAAGGAAACTGCGAATGTTACACCTCGGGACCCGCCGTCAGAAATGATTGAAGACCCGATGGGACGCATCAATAAAATAATCCGAATGTCGGATGACAAATCTGCGAGAGGGTTTACCCCGCCCTACCTGGGTATTTCTCTGTCAAGTTGTACCAAGAATTTCGAAATGAAGAGACTTCCTGTTCAGAGACCTACTTTCAGTGGATCATCCACGGTGTGCCAACAGTCGAACCAAATTGTTAAAAACTTTAATTTGCAGGGCGCCTCACAGTTACCATCCTCCCAAAGTAAAATAACTGACTTTTTGTTACATCTTCTGTCTCTAACAGAGAGTCTGCCCCCTCCATTTTGACTGTTAAAAGAACAACATAGAAGTCCCCAGCTAGCAGTCCTAAGTTGGAACATTGCTGGCTGGAAAAGGAAAAGATTAGATCCCGAATTTCTGTCCTATATAAACTCTTTCCAGATAATCCTTTTGCAAGAAACATGGGAAGAAGATAAAATAGATATAAATGGCTTTGAACTGATATCACTTCCAGCTATCCCCTCCCAGAAAGGTGGCCGGTCCAGAGGCGGTCTTGCAATCGCCATATCGCTTAAAATGAGAGCTAAACTCTCGCTAGTTCATACCTTTCCTCCTTTTGCTTTTACTGGTCTGATTTCAAGTGAAAATTCTCACTATTAATCACCAATGTTTATCTTCCTCCAGGTGGTCTGATATCAGACCTTCATTATAGATGGGATTCTCTGGAAGATCATTTATTGGCATGCTATGTTAAGTACCCTAATATTCCATCGATAATGGGTGGTGACTTCAATGCACGTACAGCTGCCAACTGGAATGGGATAATTAAGGCCAAGTGGTGGGTATCTCCCCTACCCAAAATCTGATTTAATCTCTTTCACATCAAGAAGATCTAAGGACAACAGAGTGAATGAGGCGGGAGTCCTTCTTTATCAATTGGCCATTCGTATGAATTTGAACATTCTAAATGGCAACTGCCCTCCGGACGTGCCAGGTGAATTCACTCATTTGGGCACAAAATCAAATAGTGTCCTAGATTATCTTCTAGTCTCAGAAGACCTATTTTCAAATTTCTTTTATCTCAAAGTAGATAATGTACAATCCAGTGATCACCTACCTCTAGCGGCCAAGCTAACGCTTGACTGGCACCCGGTTAGCGGAACACACCCAATTCATGTAGGTTTAAATGCCACAGCTCAAGTAAGAGGCATTAAATGGTCCATGAAACAGGCCCAAAAATATGCAGAATTCTTCCAGAGGAATAGCTCCGAATCCCTTATTGTTTCATTGGCGGAGCTGTCTGAACCAAATAGGATACTGGAGTGGTTCTCCCACTTCTCTGCAGATTTAACTAGTTTCTTTACGATGCCGGCTCACCTCGCTAACCGTGATCAACCCAGGTTCGGTGCACCTTGGTTTGATGCCAAATGTAAGCAAGCTAGACTCTCTCTGTTGTATCTACAACAGATATAAAGCCTCTGGAGCTGAAACTCTCCCCCCAGAGTACTTGCAGGCCAAAATTGCTTACAAACAGGCTCAGAAGTCAGCCAAGCACGAGTGGCAGCTAAGACGTTGGCAAGCGCTGATTGCTGCCTCTAAGCTTCGCAGCTCTCGCGGTTTTTGGAATTTAATCAACAAAAGATCGAGGAAATACCCATTGACGGTTATCCCAGCCCCGACATGGGAACAATTTCTAAGAAAATATTTCTCCCAGACAGACATCTCTAACATCCAATCTGATACTCTCTCAAGTCACTTGCCCATATGGCCAGATACTGACCCGGAGGAAATAGTAGATTTAATTGCCAAACTGAAAACTGATAAAGCCCCAGGGCCCGATCTGATCCCGGCGGAAGCTATTAAACAACATCCAATATGGTGGGCTAAAATTCTTGCAAAAATCTTTGATGCAATCAATGCCACGGGCCAGATACCTACATCATGGAAGGAGTCCATCATAATTCCTATATATAAAAAAGGACCACCAGAGGACCCAGGAAACTATCGTAATATCAGTTTATTATCAATCATCGGAAAAATCTACACTCGCTTCTTGCTAACCAGACTAACCCAATGGGCCGAAGATTCCAATCTGATAGGCCATGAACAGGTCGGGTTTAGACCAAATCGCGCTTCTATTGACCATGCTATAATTCTATATCATTTGGCGCGGAAATATTCTTCCCCTACTCATGGTCTTCTATGTGCCGCTTTTATAGACCTGAAGGCGGCTTTTGACAGTATCTCTAGAGAGCTGTTATGGGAAAAACTGGCAAAGTGGGGCATAGAAAGGCTGTTGTGGCTATTGATTAAATTACATGAAGGGACGGCTGCTAGGGTGAGGTTAACACCTGAGGGCGATCTAACAAACTCAGTTCCAATAAACAAGGGGGTACGACAAGGGTGTATCCTTGCCCCCTATCTTTTAACCTCTATATTAGTGACATGAGGACGCCCTAGCTGAGGCCCAAACCTCCATTCATGCACCCAGGCTTGCAGACTATCGCTGCCCCTTATTATTGTACGCTGACGATGCGGTGATCCTCTCTATTCTCGAATCGGTTTGAGGAGGGCCCTTAAGATTTTTGCATCATATTGCCAAACAAATTTACTCACTATTAACCATTCCAAATCTAAAGTCCTAATTTTTTCCAGGAGTCGTAAACTGTATAGATGGGAACTTGAGGGGAAGCCAATTGAACAAGTTTACAAATTTCAATATCTAGGAATTTACTTCCAGTATAATATGGGATGGAAAGCGCATATCACATATTTACAAAACAAGGTGAAAGCCCTTATCTACGCTATACTACGCTTCTTCTTTACTGAGGGGGCTATGCATGTTCCATCCGCCTTAAAAGTTTATAGTGCAAAAGTGGTTGCAACTATGGCCTATGCGGTCCCTTTATGGGGCGTCTTTGTAAACCTCTTGCCTCTGGTGACATTGCAAAATCTTTTCTAAGACGCCTTTGAAACTACCCTCCTGTGTAAGCAACTCTGCCATTCGCTTAGAACTTAAGACCCCTCCCTTGAGATTCTGATGTGGAGACATGCCTTTAATTATTGGCTGTCCCTTTGGCATAAATTGCCAAACTACCATCTTATTCAGTGCCTTTGGAGAGATGAATTCACCAGCCCATGGGCAACAAAAATCCATTCCAAACTGTTGTCTTATGGAATCTCTCCTCCGATATACTTAATTTAGATCTAATTACAGCTAAAAAGGTCATCAAACAAAGATTGGAGGATGTAGATTTACAACAAAATCTTACCACAGGTGGAGGTACATGTTCCCCGATATATCAGGGCATTACATCTATGTCCCAGATACCTCGATATCTGTCTACTTTATCGGCTGCGTCGCATAGATTCGCATTTGTTAGAGCCAGATTTAATGTGTTCCCCCAAATGTGCTGAGCAATAGATTTTCTAACGGTAAAATCTCTGTTTTGTGCGCATGTGACAACAAATCGATAGAATCCCTTTATCATATCTTGTTTAATTGCCCCTTATACAATGTTCCCGATCAAGGATCCTGAGTTCAATCATCCTGGAAATTGCTGCTAAACCACCTGAATTACATCTAGCTTATCTACTCCAGGACATTGACTCTTATAGAACTTTACAGGTTGCTAGATTCCTGATCTCAGTTCTGTCTTATAAAAGACTTCAGGGAATGCTGCATGACTATTAAAAATTCAGTAAACTCTATGCACCATCTTTATCTTCAAGGCCATAACACGGTACAGTTAGAGATTATGCGTTGAAATATTTTAGTTGATATTTTAGATTGTAAAATGCTATTGATTTTATCTATTGATTTTTATCTATTGATTTGTTTTACCTTGTGGGCTTATAGCCGAATAAAGTATTATCTATCTATCTAAAAAAAGAAGGAAAAGGTTCTGACCTCCCTTTGTCTCCTCAGCCTGGTCCTCGGACCCTTGTCGGCACAAAAGAGTCCACGAGAATATCCTTGCAGAGTTTAATTCTTAAAAGTCTTTGTGCAAAACACGACTGAATAACTATACACACCAGCACTAACCAACCAACCCAAACACCAGCCTCAGTCTCAGACTAACATTTCTCACTATATATATACAACCTGCTGCAAGCCGCTGAGTCATGCTGACCCAGCTTTATTCGTGTTAAAGAAACAGCGGCCATTTTAGCCTGCACTGCAGGAGGTTGTAGTAGAAAACCCATGGGATCCTTTCCAACATTATAATTCTATGATTCTGTGTTCAGAATTCAATATACTATAGGTCCTGAGACATAATCTAGTTAAGTCTTTCCGTGCGCATATGGTCTATATGTGTGTGGGGGGGTGCTCTATGTCCTGATGTTCAATGGATGTCCTATGTGCTGGAGTGAGTATGGGGTTGCTACATCCACTTTGTTTTGGCCACAGCTGGAATGCACCTAAAGTTTATGATACGCTCTGGAAGATCATTCCAGAAACAAATAGGGAGAGGCATGAGAGAAAGAGTAGAAATGTTTGACAGAACACAAGAACTTGTATCCTAACGAGAAAAAGGCACATGAACAGGCTGAACATAAAAAGATCAAGCAGAGAAATGGGGTCAATTTAATAAAATGGCTTAAAATTGGGTACAAAACATTTAAACATTTGCAGCCTGTAAAAAGAACAAAAAGAAGTAATATAATCAAAATTACCAACCAGACAAAGAACTTCAAGCAGGAAAATTTAAAGCAAATCAAGGACTAAAGCGGCCATCCTGTACTCTCACACCTGGAGATAATCTCATTGAATGCAATAGGACACCACCACCAAAGGTGATAGAAGGGTGGTCAAAAAGCCAGACTTAATCAAGTGAGACATTCTTGAAGACTGCCTTCTTGCAGTGGCAGGGCGGAGGGAAACGAGTAAAATATTACAAAGAGAGAAATTACACAGCTTTGCAATAGAATCAATCTGGTGGGATACAGAAAAGAGTCAAAGATGATATCAAAATAATTCAGCATACTGTGGCAGATCAACAATTGTCCACATTTTATTTTTCTTTCTTTCTTTACTGAATGCCAGGAACCTGTAAAAGAGCCTTCTTGGAAACACAGCAATGCCACCCAGCTCCAGATATAATTACTTCAGTTCAAAACTCTTTGGACCAAATGATAATTGCCTTCTCTAATGTTAATGGAACAGATAATCTTTTTATTGTATTTGTCTCTAGAAGACTACTTTTTTTGTGTGTGAGCTAAATGGAACAATTTTTAGTAAAACATTTCCACATGCTTTTAAAATGGCAATTTCCACAGAACCTAAGGGATATTAGTCCATTAAAAGGCAGGCAGATTGGACTATGCACATTAATGATAGATGAAATGTTTTAGCATTTACCAATTTATTTTCTGCAACTAGCAAATATATTTAAACAGTAAAAAAAAAATGTTCTTAATGAGTTCTGTTGAGTGTTTTAGTGCCATCCTAGAATTTTAATGCGGAAAGATTCCTGAACTTTCCACATTCGTATCATTTTCTGTCTTTATTCTCTACAAAAGTTGGAGCTAATGTATTGTGTGCAGATCATGAAGTATCTTTCTTAAAGGGATATTATCCTCCAATACATAGCTATCCACACTGAGATGTTATCCCGCAACCTCACAGTTTACGTTACAATTTAATTTAGCAGAGGAAATAAAATTTCTTGGAAACTTCTTATTAAATTGACTAAAAATCATTTCAAAATGAGACTGCTACCCGTCTCCTAAATGTGTCTGCTTTACATGTGGGTAAAGAGTATCAGTGGTTTCTATGCTACCTTCAGGATTAGAGGCAGAATACATGCCTCTCTTGAATACGAAATGCTGGGGAACTACTGTAGGTGAGGACTGCTATTGCCCTCTTGCTTGTGAGATTCAGTCTGATCTAAAGAAAGTCTGAAAGGAAGTCTTACTGAGTTCAATGGGAAAACATGCTTGCCCAGGTTAAGGTTGATGGCAACATTTATAGAGATATTAAAACATGAACAGGGAGATTAGGTTTGTACCTCCCTGCCTGCAATGGCTTCCCACAACCATCATGCTCATATTCCCAGATACGTCATGTGAAGAATGAGTACATAGTGAGAAGGATTTCCACTTCTTGTAGCATGTGGCTCGGCACATTTTCTGGTGTCTTCTGAAGCTGCCATCTCTGCATATGGGCATCTTTTTTTCATTCCTACTCCATGCCTATATGTCACATTGTAGACTAGATTTATGGCACTCTATGTTCTGTACAATGTACTATATAGTCTTGATGTGTAGTTGATTATGTCTTGTGATGGGCAATAGGATTTGACAATAATTTGGTCTTTTCCAGATTCAGTATTAGGATCAGCCCAACACTGTTGCTATAGAATGATCCCTGCAGTTAAAAAGTACTGCCTGTATGATATCTTCTGGGCACATCTGCTTTCTTGTCTCTCCTCGATGACCATGCAGATGTCCAGAAAATCAACATTTGGGGTAATCACTATGAATTACATATGGTACAATATGGTTTTCAGTAAAGCAATGATCATGAATCATATTCTGAGCAGAGGAGTGTGTTAAGGTGCGTGGCAAATTAAATCTTGAATAGTGGGGGTACATGCACTGCAATTTATTCAAATACCTGTACGCTTTTTTTCTGGGGAACTGAGGTTAGAGAAAAATAGTTCTACAGAATGGCAGATCCATTTTCCCTGCTCAGAGCAAGTGTTACTAATTTGATGTATTAATTGTGTGTTTGTGTTTAAAACAACAACAACGAATGCGTTTTAAATTGTACTGATTGTAAACAATGCTTTTAACAATAAATAGAGAGGCAAAAATCAGCAGTCAGTTCACAACTTTGTACATGCAATGGTTTGTTCACTGCAAAATTGGGATGTTGCTGAACATTCCATGTACATTCTCTGAGCCAGTCAGTGTGCAGTGCTTTACTGCTGCAAGTAAAATACAGTATAGATACTGCTGTTTTCTGTCTAGAAATTAACTATTTCTCTTTTCCCCAGGGACGGAGTCAGTGCTCATGGAATAATGTCTCATATTTCTATTATTGTGCATTGCTTGTTGTAGAAAAACTCCCATGGCTGAAAAATCAAATTAACTCCTATTTTTGACACTGGGCTTTTCTTTGGCTTTGTACATAATACCTAACAGCCAATTATCCTAAATGGTGCTATTCACTAAAAACAATAGCTCAGTCCAAATTCCACCCATTAGAAGAAAGAAGTGTGGCAGAGCTCAGTTTCCCAAACTGCAAAGTTTCTTTAGAACAATGCAAAAACTCAGTGGTGCCAAACAAAATTTAATCATAATAGAATGGTGGGGCCCTGAGACTTTTGAGATACAACCTGCCACTTTGAACCTATTGGGGCACTGAAGTTTAATCAATTGTGCAAAGGCATACAGCCTGTATTTAAGGAGCCATTCAAAAAACCAAAAATAAATAAATGGAGAACAGTAAAAAATGTCTGAAGCTTGATGTTTGCTTGTAAATTGCACTGTGAGCTATCTCAATGTGCCAGGAGTTTTAAAATGGTGATGCAATGATTGATGCCACATTAACTGCATGACTACATAGTATGGGGATCAAAACTGTAGAAGCTGTAGAAGGGTAAAGATCTATAAGGTTACGTACTTCATCTTCCTGCCAATACCGCATTGTGCCCACGGCAATTTTTTTCTCTTGTGCATTGCCCAGTCTCATTTGAGAGACTTATCTGCTTTATTTTCCTGACCCGTAGACTTCCCTGTGTTTTTCTTTCTGCCAAACTTATGACATGTACAGTGATTCTGAGCAAAGCATTCAAGCTTGTCTTGCTTGTTTATTTGTTCAGATTTTATACACTCTACACAAAAGTCCCAGAGTGATTTACATAACAATGCTTTAAATTACACACAAAATCTGCTCAACTGATATAATAAGAAAAAACTACAGTATGTTCAATACATGGAAGAAAAATACTACAAAACAATCCAATTTGTCAGTAGCTTCTAGACAACATTCATAATATTTTTTGAAGTCTAATGCATTTCCTGGATGTGGGCACAGTCTCATTGTCCAATCTTCAATGAAATGAATTCAATTTCTGGGGGGAAATGGTGATCCCTTTTTTTTTTGACTGGGACTTGCACAGGGGACTTGGTCCTGCATTGACATATTCTTTTTATTGAGTACAAAAATATTGCTGGCTTCTGTTTCCTCAAGCATTGTACCTGTATAATCTTACCTTCTTTTGTGCTAATGATTTGTGCTGAAAACTAATTTTGGATTACTTTTAGGAAGTATTTTTTTCCTGTTAGAAAAAGCAAGCTTCTGGGAAAAGCACACAAACACCTGAAGGTCACTGCAGTCCTATTGCAATAAAAACACTATTCTGAAGCTTATTAATGAATCTCACTGCAGTGATAAGGGCTTGAATGGGTTGGAGCAAAGAAGTAATACTTAAAAATGTATGTAGAATATTGAAAGCTGGAGAAAAAGCCATTTTTAGAGCAGATGAAACTTTGAGATTTAGCAAACCCTTATGATTTAGTGATGACACATTTAAAGTGTATTGGATTTATTAAAACATTTTTTAAACAGAAAAAACCCAGAATAGAATGTGCAGAAAGAGGCAATTTTGAAAGTGAAATACTCTGTTGTTTCACCCATCTTACTGATGGAAGCTCCTGAGGAGAATATGTTGGGGCATGTATTTGATGGAACTGCTGTGCCAAAGAACATTCAAACAGAGTATCCAAATAGGCTTTAATAGCTATTGTCTGTTGCAGAGGTATAATCCATCTTGAAGTCTCGATGCCTTGAGAAAGTGTGTGTGCTTAAGAAGCTACATGAATAAAAATAATATTCTTTCCTGTATCCTTAGCTTATACTGTTGTTGTTGTAT